CAAGAAAGGTGAAAGGTAAGCATGAAAATTTGGTCACCATCTCTAACTTGATGATAATTTGGATCAATGGGAGCAGTCACCAATCAAGAAGAATAGAAGGAGGAAAAAGGGTTCTAAAAAGGAACTGTAGTAGGGCATGGTGTTGCACACCTATAATTCCAGGACTGTAAAGGCTGAGACAGGAGGATTCCCATGAGTTCCAAGCCGGCCTAGATTACATAGTGAGATCCTGTCTCAAAAAAACAAAAACAACAACAAAACCAAAGGCAACTTTAAAAGTATCTAAAGTGTATTGGATTTTGAATGTGGTAGCATTAAAATTCAAAACTGTCTTGAGTCAGTAGTGGAACTCCAGGATGCTGTTGAGAAGCGATTATACAATAGAGGAGGGAACATTGTGATAGGAGTTGAGAATTTGGTGGAAATGAGGAAATGAGATTGTAAATGGAAAAAATATTTTATACAAATGGGAGGTTTATGTGGAGTCACTCATTTAGCCACTCAGATCCTATCATGAAAGTGGAATTATGTAATTCACTGTGATGCCTTCACCGTTTATAAAGATAATGTTCAGTTAACTGCACCTGGGCCTTTGGAGTAAAAGGATTTTGAGTTGGTCTTGTTGGTTTGGGCTTCTGGGGTGTAACAGAACGCCATAAACTAGGTGTTTTACAGACAATAGAAAGTTATTTCTCACGGTTCAGAGGGATATGAAGTCTAAAATCGAGGTCCAAGCAGATTCAGTGTCTGGCGCAGTCTGTCTGCTAGCTCATACGTGGCTGTCTCCTCACATCCTAACATGGTGGGAGACCAAGGGGTAAAAGAGATCTTTTATTTTATAAATGTACTGATGTCTCTCGGGAGCACTCCACACTCTGACCTAATCACCTCCAGTACCCTCATAGGGGCATTGTTCAATGTATGAATTTTGGGGGAACACAGATAGGCAGTTTACAGCAAGTCAGAAAATCCTATGATTATTTAAGTAGTGTTTTGGTCATTTCACACAAAAATCTGAGAAATATGATGTATTGTTAAAATCCACTGCTGTATCTTAAATTACTGGCTTTTCAATAGTGCTAAATTACTGAACTTTTTTTTTTTTTGATCTAGAAAATGGAAATGATGGTTGCTGGCCTAATTTAATTCAGAGGGACTTATGGATTAAATCATGTGTTGAATGAAAAAGCGCTTCTTGTGCCAAATACTGTATAATGGAAGGTGAAGTTACAGCTGTCCCCTGGGGTACATAGGGTGATGGTCCATCTACCATCACTGCACTTCTGCCAGCAGCGTGTTTATCTTACATAAAAACACGTGCAGTGTGTTTATGAAATTCTTCTTTTGGATGAATACTTAGTCATAAGCATGTACAAGTGAGTACTTTGATTATCTCAGAATACATGCCTTCTGTTGCCTACCACATTTTTTTTTTTTGAGACAATGTCTTGCTGTGTTGCAGGCTGACCTTGAACTTATATACATATCCCAGGCTGCCCTCTAATTCCCAGTGATCCTCCTGCCTCTCCGCCTCCTGAGTGCTGGATTCCAGTCTTGTGCCACCGTGCCTGTCTTCCAGCCATTTTCCCAGCAGTGCTCACCAGTGTGAGAGCGGAAAAAGGCAAAGCCCCGTACCACTTCACTGTGTGAACTGCCGTACTTACTTTAACGCTTGGTCTTAATTTGTCCTGATAGGTCATATAGCTGGGGTAGTCCTGTTCCCCACACTTGTTTCTCTTTTCCTCCCTCCTGTCTCTCTTGTAAATTCCAGGACATGGTAGAAAACACATGTTCCTAGAGTAAGAGTAGCTAAGAAGTCTCTCCCGTGTGTGTGTGTGTGTGTGTGTGTGTGTGTATCAGGTTTGAGTGGGCGGAAACCTGTTGCACTGTCCTGTAAAATGTCCTAACTGCGGTACCTACAGAGGGTTCGAGGGTGCTTTTCAGTAGCCTGGGTTTCAGTGGTTTTTTTCTCTCATCTTCTTCTCCCCAAACTAGCTGGAAGAGATTAGTAACTTGAGGGCCAGGAGTCCAAATTAGACTGTTCTAGTGCTTTTTATGCTGCTAGGTGTTTCTTCATCTAGTTGAAGTTGGCATATCAGGACTGATCGACACAGTCTAAAATTGGCTACCCCAAGCCTTGGGGTTTTTTCATGGACACTACTTCCTGACTTACCAATGATTGTTAGTGATGTAAAATTTTTTGAAGATGGGCATTTGGGAGGGTGAGGCAGGAGGATCACAAGTTCAAGGCCAGCCCGGACTACATAGTGAAGCCCTGCCTCAAAAATAAAAAAATTGACAGAGGCTCATTTTATTAAAATTTGGAAAGAGAGAATGTGATCTTGAGGAGTGCACTTAAAAGTCCAAGCCTCCAATGATTGCAGCTGTCCTCAGTTCTTTGTTTGGTAGGTTTCTGTGCTTTCTATTAACCTTCCCAAAAGCTCTAGAGTTTTTTATGCTTGGAAGCTCCGAGGTGACGGCCATTCACCTAGTCTCTTTGGTCAGAGACTTCATTCTGGTCACCTTCTTTATTGTGGCTCTCAGTTGGGACGTCCTCTCAGATCCACTGCCTAAGGCACCTCTGCGCACCTCTGTCAGGCACCATGTCAGGCACCTCTGCCCCTTTGGATAGTTCTCATTTATTCCTCACAGCAGATCTGGGAGTCTTCAGTTAGAACTGGGGCTCCTGATTCCTCCTTAGTGTTCTTTCTGCCAGTTTGCCCAGCCTGTTGTATGGAGAGTTTGGGTAATACAAGAGAATGCTAATTTGTAATATCATTAAAACATTTTCCATAGGGAGATGCTTTGTTCAAACACATAGTTAACCAAAATGATTACACGTGGTTCAGAAGTATTTAGCATTCACACTTACAGGAAAGCAAAAGCTTGAGAAATGGATTAAATCATTGAAGTTAGTCTTTTAGTGTCAGAGAATATACATTAAATATTTTTTGTTTCAGGGATAGATAAAAAGAAACAAATACTGTAATATTAAAAACTTTCCCTAAAGTGGACATTACCTTGGCCTACTTTAATACAGGAGTTGAAAAGCAGGTTGGATTTTATTCCCCAAAATGCTAGTCATCAGAATATGACGTGGTCCGTTGCTACTCATTGAAACCGGAGTGTTTAGAGTAGCAGCCATCGAGAACATACATTAGCTGCTGGACCTGGTGGTACACTCTTGTAATCCAGCACTTGGAAACTAAAGCAGGAGGATTGCATGGACAATTTAGTGACTTACTGAGACCCTTCCTCAACATAAAACAAGGGGCAGGGGATGTAGCTTAGTGTGCAGGCCTCATTCAGTCCCTACTACCACAGACAGACAAAACCACCCACACTAAACATGCATGAGCATTGAAGTCTTTGTTACAGTGGTTAATCTTCTGTCTTAATAGTTCAGAACTACTGAGCCCACGTGTGGAGATTTTATCAGCTTTCTTCCTGTTTGCTCTTTTATTGACTCATCTATATTTTTAAAATCTTGAACCTAAGATACTGTTTCTGGGTTTATTCTTTTCTCATGTAATTAAGGAAAATTACTTCTAGAAATGTATTAATGCCTTACTCTGAACTGCAGTCTTCACCACAGTGTTGCTGTGGCATACTTAGTGTTTTTCTGTTCTGATTAATACAAGCTTGCTTTTAGTCAGTAACACTGAGATATGAATGTCTTAGTCAATAGCCAAGTCTTATTCTTTTCCCCAGGAAAATGCTTTCAAAAATCGATTTTAAGGTAATAAGCACTTTTACTTGCATATTATAATCTCATTATAATGTTAATTTGGATGCAGCAAACTTGGATCCAAATTCCATGAAAGCAGAAACTTTTTTTTTTTTGTATTGGGGATTGTATTCATGACCTCAGGCTTGCCAGGGCAGGCACTTTGCTGCTAAGCTAAACCCCTGGCCCCAGAAGCAGAAACTTGTTGCCATCACCGAATGAGCTTATCCATATACCCTGTACATCTTAAATGCTTAATAAATGTGCGCTACATATATATTATCCCATGCATATTTGTATTATACAGTACAACTTTGGTTTGTGAGCATAATTTGTAATCCAAAGCACTTTCTTTTTATTTTTTATTTTTTTGTCTTTTTGAGACAGGGTCTCTCTATGCAGTTCAGGCTGGCCTTGAGCTCACCTTGTAGCCTAGGCTGGTCTCAACTTGCAATGATCCTCCTGTCTCAGCCTCCCAAGTGCTGGGATTACAAAGTGTGAGCCACCACGCCTGGCACCAAAGCACTTTCAAAGCACATTTCCTCGTAAGAAGTAATGGAAACCAAGATAATTTGTTCCACAACCCAAAGATATTCCTATAAAAATGATTACAACACTGTACTCTAATACAACATATATGAAGAAGAGTGAACAGTTACTCTGCACTTAGGTCTAAAACCCTCGTGACTGGTGTGAGGTTATTATATGGGACAGTTTTGGCTGTCCCTGATGGAACCACTCCTACCTATTGGCTCAATGGAGTCTTTCTCTTCCACGTAACTTTAACAAGGAACCTATTCAGTGACACTCACTTTTGCCTCCTTTTGAGGATCTTGTGGAAATGTGACATTGCATTGTTATTACACAGGTGCATCGCTCAGTTGTCACAGCCTTCTTGAGGTGGTGCTTGTCCTCCTCCGTGTATCACACACCTCTCTAATCTCATTAGGAGTGAGAGATGACTCCTGCTTTGCTCTCTTCTCTGCAGATGAAATATCCATATTGTCGGCAGAGATCGCCCACATCCTTAGTGAGAGAGAGGACCATTGTGATCATGCGACTGAGCATCATGTACTACTCATATTGCAAGACATGGTCATTTATGAAGTTAAAGTTTATTAGAAGTGGTTGCTCATCCTGTGGGACACTCATGAAATAAGTTACTTGCAGTCCAAGGTTTTGCTGTGTGTAGTTTTGTCACATCCTCTGCATTAACTGTGATCTCTAAATTGATAATATTGTATGTAATTTTTTTTTGTTTGTTTTTCTTTAGGTTGGTATTTTGTTTGGCATCTATTTTTATCTAAATTCAAGTTTCTGCGGGAACTGGTGGGAGACACAGGATCCCAGGAGGGGGATCATGAGCCTTCGGGGTCTGAAACTGAAGAAGACAGTTCGTCCTCCTCGTACAAGATGAGATCCGCACGCTACCGGAGGGCACCTGCTGACGAAGGCCACTGACTTCAGACGAGGTCCTTCATTAGTCCACGGCAAAAGGCAGCTGTGAGCCTCTGTCTTTAGCGACCTCACTTTGAAATTTGCTAAAAGACAGAAGAACATTTAAACTTGGATTTTATATCCAGTTGAAAAAGAAATTTATATGTAAGCCATACAGGAAAAAAGGGAATTGAAACCAAATTGGGCCATGAAAATGTCACCTTAAAGGTAATATTTTGCTTCACTAACTTTCTGCTTAACACACTTAGTCCTTGGCTCTTGGGCATTGTTTTTTTTTTTTTTTTTTTTTTTTTGCACTGGTGTGAATCTGGCAAAATTTTCAGGCTTGAAAAAACAATTTTTTGGGGTCATAAAATGTACTCTTCATATTTTAATGCGTGTGAAATTTGGGTGCACCTCATTACTGTCACCCAGGTGATAGTCATATAATTATCCTAGCTTGAGCATGTGTGAATTTACAGCTTGTCATACTGTCATCACCTTTGCGGATGTGTGTTGTTGGCATCAAATGTGTCAGGTTTAAAGAGGGTGTTAAGATGTCTTCAGAAAGCTTGCACTGTGACTCAGCCTTGAAACGAAAGGTTATCACATATGTAGAAAAGCATGGAAATGGAGCTGAGCACATACATTTGAGCCAAGTGAAGCAAATGTTCATTGTTGGAGGAATGATTGAAACACCGTATTTTCTTGCAAAGCACCCACAAAGTACTTTATTGGACATAAGCCAGGAAGATGCTCACAAGTAGAAGAAGCTGTGCTACGGTCTGTCAGAGAGGCACATGCAAAAGGATTGCCTGTCATGGGCCAGGAGAAATTGCCAAAACCCTCTGAATCGATGACTGAGCAGCGAGAGGCTGGCGTGACCTGATGCATGTGTTGAGCAGGACCATCGTTACGACAGCAAACATCCTTTTTCCAAAACTTCCCACCGACAGCAAACAGTACCCAGCTGAGACGCGCCCTGCAGTGCTTGCCATCACCAGCACTCTTGCCGATGCCCAGGGCTGTGTTGTGTGGGGAAGTGCAGACCCCGAGGATGTGCCCTGAAAAGTACATCAGAGAAGTGGGGCTGGAAAATGGGAGGTTATGGTTATAACTTACCCAGTTTATCTCACACATTTGTAATGTATGCGCAAGATTGACGTGATTAAAATCTGTTTCAAAGCACTGCTACCACAAATATAAAATAAGCATTTTTCTGAGAGGTGAGGCAGCTGGGTCATTGTGTGATGGATGGACAGTGATGCGGACTGTGCATCTTAACAACTGATAGGATCTTAGGTAATGGTAGTTGAAAATTTGTTTTTCATTTTAAGACAGCATTACAATATTTCAATTGTCATCGTCTATGAAATGGTTTTTTTGGTTAATCTATTAAAAAATCTAGAGTAGCATTTTAGAAATCTTAAGAACCATCTTCTACTTCAGGAAGACTGAGCTTCGTCACTCCCTTATGTAGGAGGATTTTATGCTCCAGGCATATGTTATGGAGAAAATACTTCTCCGCAGACAGTGACAAGACCTCCAAGATCCTGGGTGTTGAAAAAGTGTGGCTGAAACTACCTGTTTGACTGTAAAGAGATTCTTGCCGGGTGTCCGTGTTTGTCTTAACTGAATTTTGGACTAGCACTAGTGTGAGAGAGATAGGAATTGAAGAACTTTTCAGTGTAGTAGTCCCTGCTTTGTACAAGAATGAAATGCAAAGCCAACTTATTTTATGAATCTGTGTTCTTCTTATGTTTTTAGCCTTTTGTCTCAAGAACTAGTTATCACCTCTGTTTCACGGGGGTGTTTCAGTGTTTGATACCTCATTCTTCATGCTGACAGTTTTGTTTATTAACAGCTCACTGGCTCTTCCCCACGTTGTATTCCTCATGAAAACCTCTTTGCTGATATTGTACTAGAAGGGAATTGACAGGGCATAACTGTAGTTTTTATATTTGCTGGGGGAAGATTCCCAGCAGCTGAGAATGGGGCACAGTCATGCTGTCTTCACTTCTGTACTGGTTGTAATGTGACTGACTAGGGCATAAAAAGCAGTGAGTGACACGTGTCTAGCATTAATTGTAATGTTTCATGTTTTACTAGTGCTAAATAGCACATTGGAATCATCACCAGATGAAAATGTTCAACAGCGTTTGGGCCCGAGAGCTTGTTTATATTACATTTTTCAGCCTGATGTTTTGAGCTCTGGATTTTGTTTTACGGTGGATGTCTAAGTTATAGATAATAATTGTTACTGTTGAGCTTCCTGTTATGTCAGTATTAAAGAATGATGGCTGATGTAACCCTCTTCCCTCAAATCTGTAGTTGTGCCCAAATTAATACAAGTTAATCCATGTAAAGCTCTGGATGTTGGGCATTATTTATTTATGCTTTAAGCATATCTTGTTTTATACGATTTTAAGAAATGTTCTCGTTAACTTACTTGAAATATATACCTAAAAACGTTAATCGCTCATACTCCTTGGGGAGAGAGTGAAAAGAAATGACTGATGCCAATATGAATAGTTTATAGACAAGTCCTTTATTTAAGCCTTTTTCTTTTCATGCACTTGACCTTCTATAGTATGTGTGTCTAAGGCCAATATTACAGGGAAGAGAAATGTTAATGCAGAATTAGTTATGTTATGTGATATGGTTTTCCATCCTTTTTCCTGTTTTAATGCTTTTGTAGATGAATTTACCAGAATGCCATTACAGTAGCATTTTCAGTCTCAGTGAAAAGTGGAATAGACTGTGGTTGATATTAACATTAAAAAGTTATGAGCATTAAAATCATAAATGTTAGACTCTTGCTTGAACTCTTCCCAAAAATGGTAGTGAACAAATATGCCATGTTTTTGAGGATTAATTCTAAAATTAAGGACTCATGTAAGTGTCTCATTTCTTTCTTACCCATCCAAATCTTTTGCCTCTGAAACTTTTTGTGAAAATTGCCTGTATGGTAGTGCTATTCAGATTTTAAGCCAAAAACACTAAATATTTGTATAGCATGTTTAAATGAGGTTTTGAATATTTACGTCAAATTGAAAATAAGACTCTTAATGGATGTTCATAGTGGACATAAATGTGTGGTAGACAGCTACTTCACAGACATGTTAACCCTTTTCTTTAGATGTTACTAAGTTTAAGAATCATTTCAAATTATTTGGCTGGAAGTTTAGAATATATAAAGTAATGAGTTCACAAAATAAGGCGTCTAAAATGTGTCGAAGATTTTAAAGTAGTGCATTTTTCCTCTTAACAGTAACACTTTTTGAAGTTACTATAGACATCATTGATGCAATCTTTTTTAAAGTCAGTTTTTCTTAAAAGGTATGTTTTATGTAATGTGTAATCAGTTAACTAGATTTTGCCTGGTAATCTAAGTGCTTTTATATTTGAAGTTGACTTTAAAAAGCCAATGAGCAGTCCTCAGAGTTGATAGTCTCTCAGGCAACTAACAGGTTAGCGTTCAGTTAGGGAGTCTAGAAGTAAAGCACTTTGCATCGTCTGGTTTTAGAGCGTCCCAGAGTTTTACCTTACAGTGAAGTTACACTTCCTGTTTGTTTGTTGTGTGCCGTTTTATGAGGAGTGTTTAACGTTAGCCTCCAGCTGAGTTCTATGCATAACATTTACCACATGCTGCTGATGAGGTTCTCACAGGAAGCCTCCTGTGCTGTGCTCTGATGCAGGGTCACCTTGCTGCTTGACAGATAGGTTTGTAAGGAATTAGCACTGTGTGTGTTAACAGTACCTTTGTGTAACAAGATGTAAAATTGAAGATGAGGAATGTGGCGCAAATGATCATTCAGTGTTTGTTAAATTGCTCAGTACTATATCTAAGCTGTGGTTGGTATGTTTTAACTTTCATGGCACAGAATAAATTGAAATGAAAACAAACAAGTTGTATGTGTCTCGTTGCTAAAGGATAAGTATGAAGGGCATTTTGGACAGGAAGGGATTTTAAAAACAACCACTTTTACTTAAGGTCTACATTTCACTTTGTAAGAATTGAGAAGGTGACACCCTTGCTTTAGCATAGATCAATCTTGTGTTTTGTAGAGTGTGAACCACCAGGGGAACTGAGGACCTGGACAAGGCCAAGGCCGAGTGAGGGGTGAGGAGTGCTTCTGAGAATGCCCTTGAGTTAGGGAACCGTGAGTTTCAGTTTGGGGACCCATGATGGGATTTTTCACAGTATTGCACATCGGCCAAAAACACAGGAGGAAGTGAGTTTTATCAGGGTCTGACTTTGAAAGGAAGGCATGATTACAAGCAGGGTCATGACAGATTGGCTCTGGGCTCTGGAGAATCAGTGGTAGGTACTGGTTCCTGGGATGGATGGGAAGCAGCAGGGACCGAAGAGGAGGGGGACAGCAGAGTAAGTCTGAGGGGGGAAGCTTAGGACCGCAGAGGTTAAATAGGTCTGGGCTGTGACAGTACCTGCAGCCGTGGGTAGAGGGGGAATATGGGGACTCTGACTCTTCTGGGGTATCATGTGAGCCATCAGCATGCTTACCAATACTTTCCTACAAGGGCGGAAATTTGGATGAAGGAGAGGGCTGGGCTGGGCCCAGGTAAGGGCTAAAGAGGCCTGACCTTCAGGTAGGGATGGCAGGTGACTCTTCCAGAGGGGGGAGCTCACTGCAAATGAAAGGACGCCGGCAGAGGGGCTGTGAGGGCACTGCCTTCACCTTGGTCCCCGTGGCAGCCGTACCAGCCTGTATATACACGTATATAAGGACTTCCACTGACTTACGAAGGTGATGCTGTTCGAGGAGAATTTGGGGGAATCGGGGAAGGGAAAGGAGGGAAGAACAGCGAGAGCCTCACTAAGCATCTTGAAGGAGTGGAAGTGTTCCAGGTAGAGGCGAGGGCAATTGCAGAAGAAAGAACATGCAACAGCAGAGTCACGGGAACAAGCCTTGTCTGCAGACCTGCCGTTTCCCCGAATAAGACCTACTGGACCAGTATCATCCTTGAAAACTAGAGGTCAGAGACGCCGCCGCCCACCTGCCAGCCTCTCCGTGCCTCACCTGCCATCACTGCTCTCTTGCCCCCGGCCGCTCTGCAAGGCAGGTAAGGCTCAGAGGCGGATTGGGGCTGGCATTTTCAGCCTATAGATCTCAGGGATGTTTTCCAGCTAGCTCTTACTTTCAGGGAAGGAGGATGTTCACTTGGAATTACTGGAATAGAATACAAGTGGGGACACTGGCTTGGGGCTAGAAATACATAAAAGATACAGGTCCCCAAAGACTGTAATAGCAAAGGCTTTGAAGTTTGGGACGTAGGCGATGCAGAGTGTTGAAATAAAAGGTGAGCAGTGATTCCCTTACTTGGCATTTGCTGTGTGACTGCTCTTCCAGCAACCTGGATGGATGGATGCAGATGGCCTAGCAAGCTCCTGCTGCCTGCAGTGGGGGTGGATTAGAGGCACAGTGGAACTAGGTGTCTCTTAGTGGGTCCAAGCCATGCAATAGAAAACTACTGGCAAACTGGAAAGGTGCGATCACTGCGGGAAGTTTGAGTATGGTTTGGGATTTGAGATTGGTCGTGAAGAAGAAGAGTAAATGATTGTTTTGACATTTAAGTTTGAGATTAGTAACAGTGATGTGTATAGAAGTGAGTTTGGGATTGGGCATAGGAAGATGGATGATAAGAGTCCAGTTTGGGGCACATATTTGAGGTCCTCCTTGGCAATTAGGTAACAGAAATAAGTAACCACTTGTCAAATGAGTAGGAGAGACATGAATTGAAAACCTAGGACCAGCAATTATGAGCATACAGCTGAAGTAATGGGCAAAATAGGATGCAGAGGCAGGAGATAGTGCTGTGGCTGGAAAACATTTTTTGTTTTTTAATACAGTTCAGGCTGGCCTTGAACTCACTTTATAGCCCAGGTTGACCTTTAACTCACAGTGATCCTTCTGCCTCAGCCTCCCAAGTGCTGGAATTCAGGTGTGTGCCACCATGCCCAGTCACTAGCATGAACATTTTCGTGCTCTCCAAAGTTAACGTGTTTCACGCTTAATCCCCTGTATGATAGTATTAGATGGTGGGGTATTTGGGGAGGTGACTCTGTCCTGATGAATGGTTTAGTACAAAAATGGGCTTTCTCTTCTGCCCCTCAGCCCTGCAAGGGCACAGAATCCTCCTCTTCCAAGCATACAGTGAGGAGGTGTCATCTTGGGACCGGACATGGAATCTGCCTTGATCTCAGCCTCCAGAACCAGGAGAACTAATCTTTGTTATGAATGACCAGTTTAAGTATTCTGTTCCAGCAACCAAAGCTGATTAAGACAGGCCCCTAAGTAGCATCGGTAAAATAGCCATTGAGGTCAGTGAGAACCACCAGGAAGAGAAACAGAAGTGGGCCAACAGAAGAGCCCGGGGGTGCTAGGAGCATCGTGAAGGAAGAAGCTGCAGGGCACGTGTTCTGCTGCTCAGCTCTGACCGCTACAGCGAAGTTACGGCCATGGGGAGCTCTTGAGGTAGTTCATGCCAAAGATGACGCCCATCTGTAAGGCTGGCAGGAGGAGTGACAGGTTCAAGAGGTTCTTGATGGGAGTCGATTTGGCGGGTTGTTGACTGGCTGGACGGCAGAGGTGAAGGATGAGGATGAATCAGGGAATGCGCTTAGCACAGGTGTGAAGAGGCCGATGGGAGAGAAGGGGTGTGCAGAGCAGTGGAAATGGTCAGTCGGGTCTCCAGGTGAAGGTCGGAGGGACGGAGAGAACGGCTCACCGGGAAGAACGATACCTACATTACAGCACTGCTTTTTAAAATAATACCCATTGGGCATGTCAACCTTGGGGCACAGCCAGTAATGCAGCCACCATCTTTTTCTTGTTTACCTTTGTAACTATAGCCCCCTCCACCCTGTTCTTTATTTTTTATTTTTTTCAGTACTGGAGAGTGAACCCAAAGCCTTCCCACAGAGCTGCATACATTCCTCATCCTTCTTGAGATGTTTTCATTTTGAGACAGTCTCGCTCTTGAGGTTGCCCAGGTTGGGCTTCAGTTTTGGGTTCTCTTGCCTTAAACTCCTTCAGTGCCAGGATTATACCCGGGTGGTGCCACACCAGCTGTGGGGCAACGTGGTCCCGGAGTTGCTCGGTTCATTGGAAAAAATGTAGTTGAAAAAGGGAATCACAAAAACATACATTCACCCTACATTAGGTAAAGCCAAGACTTTTTTGCAGTGAACAAAAGCCATTAGAGGTGCATCTTTTTCTTTATAAAAGTTAAACTTAATTCTGTGATTACTAATAGCTTTGTTCTGTCAAAATTAGAACAACAATGTAGAATAAAGATTTTTACTATATGATCATGATACTGTAGCCCATTTACAGTACTATTAATATTTTATTTTATTTTATTTTAATTGGTACCAGGGATCGAACTCATGACTGCACGCTTGCAAGGCAGGCACTTATGCCGCTGAGCTAAATTCCCAGCCCTATTAATATAATACTGATTTGATTATGTAAACAACAGTCTGTGTGCTTGTAGTTAATAATTGGAAAATGTCTGTTTTTTTGTGGGGAGGCAGTATTGAGAATTGAACTCAGGACCTCATGCTTGTCAGGCAGGCGCTGTGCCGCTGAGCTATATCCTCAGCCCCAAATATCTGCATTTTATAGTTATTTTATAGTACTGAGATGAGCAAGATTTTTGTATCTTTGATCAGTTTTTTCCCAGAACACTCAGCTAAGCATGCATAGAAAGTGTAACATTTAATTGTAATATTTAATTATGTAATTACTGTATCAGAGACAATTCGAGTTAGCAGGTGTGGGGACACATTCTGTGAAGCATGGAAGTCATGGGTGAGAACTGAGCTGTGTGGACATAGAAGACACAGTGGCTCCATCCTTGCCCCCTCACGCTGCTGGTACCTGCCCTCTCCTCCCAGCAGCCTGTCTGAAATGATTCCCTCCTGTGCGCTGGATTCCATTTCATCTCACCTTTTCAGCAAATTGACACTACGAGTGATTTCTTCTGTGTGTGCTGTCACCCCCTGTGAACTGGACTGTCCCTCAGCATTTAAGTATGTTCATTAAACATACCTTGAAAGAATGAAGGAGGTGGGCATGGTGGCACCTGCCTGCGTTCCAGCTCTGGTGGCCTGGGACAAGAGGGTCCAAGTTCACAGGCCAGTCTGGGTAATTCTGTGATTCAGGAAGACCTTGTTTCAGAATTAAGGAGGAAGGGTGCGGGAGGTGCAGCTCAGTGCAAAGGCCCGGGGATGAAGGCAAGGCCCCAAGCCCCACTAAATAGTTACCTCCGTGACTCCGCTGAGATAGAGTGGGAAGGACAGTTCTAGTTCGCAGCATGGCCCGAGCAACGCTGGTGGTGCTTGTTCCTTCCGGAGTCATTCTTTGGTCAGCATGCGTGGCCCTGGAATTCTGATTACATTGATTTTATTCCTGTCCTCTGGTGTCACACCTCTACCTCATTTATAGGTTTGCAACTGCATCTTGCCAGTAAGTGCGGGAGTCCCGGGCCTAGTTCTCGCCCTTGTGTGCTCGGGGTGTCTCCACAGCAGTTCTATTTGTGACTCGGCTCCTATCTGTTTACAGTGAGGCCCCCAATTGTACCTCTGAGCCAACTGTCTCCTGAGTGTCTCCTCGGTGTTTCATTGTGGCTGTCTTACATACTAATTCCCAAATCTGCAAAGTCAAATGTATTTTTAATTAAAAATTTTTAAATTAAAAATTTTCAAGGTTAAATATGGTTGTTTATCCTTGCTATCCATCTGCCTGGGGTCCTGTATCCGGTCCATCAGCAGGCCTTACTGATTTGGCTTCTGCCATAGCTCTTGAGAATTTATCCTTTTGTCCATTTTCTGATTCCTGTCTGTAGGCTGTGTAGAGTAGGAATCACAAGTGTGGTCTCTGGAA